TAGTAGTAGTAGTAGTAGTAGTAGTAGTAGTAGTTGTTGTTGTTGTTGTTGTTGTTGTTGTTGTTGTTGTAGAGTCAACAAGTAGGCGTAGTGTTATTTAGTGGGTTTTAAAACTAAATAAATAAATCTTGAATAATAGTTTTATTGGCTGTAAGCAGCAAAAAGTTAATTGAATTTACTCACAACGATATAATCAAGCAATTAGCCATTTTTAATAGAAAAATGGTCTTCAGCCACACAAACAAAGCGCCAATAAGCCAAAAAAAGGTTTAACATTTCATCAACTATAGGCTCTTAATCGTTTGCCAACTCCCAGTTGCAGTACAACCACCTTTGGCGGTCTCTCTTCATATTCTGGTGAGTTGTCCTGTTTGTCGGCCCATAAACAGACGGAAACTGGACAAGGAGCCATTTCTGCTCAATCTGTAGGTAGCGTTTTTGCTGTAACGAGTGCATTTTTGTTCAACTTTCAGCAATACCCGATCCCTTCGACTGATTTCGGTCAGGATGCACTATTTGATCGCTGAAACTGAAACCAACTCGGTACTACAGGTTGAGCACTGTCGCTCGATATTTGGCCAGAGAAATGGTAGATTTTTGAATTCATCATCTGCCGGTGAGCTTTCGAGAATGTGCCATTTCGTCAGAACACATGGTCCCATCACCGTCCATGTGAGTCTATGTGGCCAAAGTAAGCCCCACGATGACCAGCACGGGGAGATAAGGGATGTCAAATAATGGTTCCGATGACCAACTATACATCTGCCGCCGTTGCTAAGACAAAGGGAACATCAGTCTGAGGACATGACAAGCTGGTAGATCACCTCGAGAGAGAGAATAGAGGCGAGACAAGAGGGCAAAGGAAGCAGCCTTACCGAGTTTGTGAGGATCGTGGTTGTTTGAGCTGAACACGATGAGGAAAAAGGTGAGCACGATGATGAGGAGACCGGCCGTAGACAAATAGGTGATGTAGAACGCGAGTCCGATGTCGCTAGTCATTGCTAAGAGGCCGATTATCGCGACCACGAACAAAGCCGCCATTTCGATAGTGAGTCCGTAGGTGATCTCCGTGAGGATGGCGCAGCCACCTTCGAGGCACCGAGGCAAAAGAAAAAGGAGCAAAAATGGCTGCAAATGAGTATCGGTCGGGACCAATTCCTACAAAAGTAGATCGTTTTCAGATCCCTTTTTTATTTCATACATACATACATATATATATATATATATATATTGAAAAACAATTTAAAATTATTACTAATTGTCTTTAAGGCTACTTATATCTGAACTAAGTAGTGTGTTGAGCGTAACGGGAAATAAAAGACTGTCTAACCAAAGTTGGCTCGTAGTAGCGATTTTTTTGTATCTCGAAATATCTCCCTTCAGAATTAGGCCTTTTATTATTATCGCTGCCACTTAAAGGAGCCTGTTTATAAGCCTCGTTCTCATTTGCTGGCGCAAAAGGAGAGAATTGTTGAGGCAGTCGGTGAATTTTTCAGCATTTCGGCCTATTATTTTAGGGATTCTCAAGGACTCAGATTGTCTCGTGACCGGCTGACGGATCCGCAACTACGTCCGGTTACTGACTCTGCTTGCTCAAGCAGAGCTTATCGGTGCTCAGAAAAGATTATTTTTGCTTTGGTACAAACTCTCGAGCCACTTTGGAATGAGGCTACTTCACCTCGTCCTATCAACTTGATCATAATTTCTGGGTGACCTGGAAGCATGTATGTCATAAGAACTAGGATAATTTTTCTAACTGCAAACCATTCAATTGGTACATTAGAGGAATTTTCGCGGAAATCTAGTCTTCAGTATGTTTACTCAAATAAATCCTCTTTAGCACCAATCAACACATCGTCATAATGACACGCAATGAGGTGCTATTTTGCTCTTCAAAGCATCCTCCCATGCTTCCCCTAACAATAAGAGCTTTATCGAGGCTCGATGCAGACGATCAGCCTTGCTTTGTAATACCAAAATGCTGTTGATTGGGAAAAGATGAAGGGAACCGAAAAGAATTGGGCTTTAAAAACATGTTTCCAGGTTCTGTGTGGATGGGAGATTCTAGAATGTAAAGATGGAAGCTATCAGATACCAAACCTGCTGAGGGAACAGCAATTCATCCGGCTTCTGCTACCGTCGCTTTTCCCTTGCCAATAAAATAAGAAATCTTTTCATCCTACGACAGCCGACAATTCCGGCCACCTCTGGCCCTGGTGACCTCAACATCTTTACATTGAGACGCTCGATGAAGTGAGTGAATCAGGAATTCCTAAATAAGAGCATTAGTCACTTTGGGTTGCCTAAGATGTTGTGAAATTGATTGTTGGGTGATTTTTCGGGCTA